TAAGAACTTTGCTTCAGGATGAGAACAGAAATCGTGCGGCGGCAGCGGGAGGCCCCATTAGCTATAGTAGTACCTCATGTTAAGAACAGTTTCAGGTTAAGAACGGACCTCCAGAACGAATTAAGTTCTTAACCCGAGATATCACTGTATATGAAACTTATATACTTAAAGGCAGTGCTGTTTTTCTAGAAAAAGAGGTGCCGGAACTCACTATGAATGCCCTCGTTTCTCTTACAGTGGCAATGGCACCCACCTGACAGGCGCCGGAACTAAGTTCCAGCAAGTTCCGGTTGAAAAAAGACCTGATTAAAGGCAGTAAGGAGTTTGATGGTGAAGCACTCAAGGCATGCATATCTGAGTCCCATTTTCCAGCATCCTTAAACTACAGTTCCCAAGCTTCTTTGGAGGAAGCCATGTGCTCGAAAAGTATGGTGTCAGTGTGCCCTCGGGCAGAAGGAAGTCATGAGGGTGTTTCGGAGATTATTTGTGGCACAGGAACGGCCAGAAGCCCTGCTGGTTTTCCGTACGTCAGGTTGGAAGGTAGAAGAGCTGGAAGGGGACGAAGCATGCCAGTTCCAGGGTTCGTTCTGGAAGCAGGTCGGGGGAACAGGAGGATGCAAAGCCACCCCAACTCTCAGAACTGCCCTCACATTTCCTCTCTACCATTGGAGGGCTGATAGCAGAGGAGCAATGTGGGTGGTTCTTTCCATGTGTCTGGGATGGGCCTCCCTTTCTACCCACAGAGAGGGAGATCCACAATCTCCTATGGCCTTTGGAATGCCATCTCAGGGATCATAGGATTGTGCCCAAAATGTGTTATATCCATGTCCTGAATGGGGTAACTGTGCCCCTGAAGGGCCAGGTATGCAGCCATTATGGACTCACAGCTGTCCATGGAGGCGCAGGTTAATTCTGTGTCCGGGGAGGCTGTCTGCCAGCTCCATCTGGTACGCAGGCTGAGACCCTACCTGCCTGCAGACTGTCTCGCCACAGTGGTGCATGCTCTAGTTATCTCCTGCATGGACTACTGCAATGCGCTCTACGTGGGGCTACCTTTGAAGGTGACCCAGAAACTACAACTAATCCAAAATGCAGCAGCCAGACTGGTGACTGGGAGTGGCTGCCGAGACCATATAACACCGGTCTTGAGACCTACATTGGCTCCCAGGATGTTTCCAAGCGCAATTCAAAGTGTTGGTGCGGACCTTTAAAGCCCTAAACGGCCTTGGCCCAGTATACCTGAAGGAGCGTCTCCACCCCCATCATTCAGCCCGGACACTGAGGTCCAGCTCCAAGGGCCTTTCTGGCAGTTCCCTCACTGCGAGAAGTCCCTTCCATCAGATGTCAAGGAAATAAACAACTATCTGACTTTTAGAAGACATCTGAAGGCAACCCTGTTTGATGTTTTATCGTGTTTTTAATATTCTGTTGGAAGCCGCCCAGAGTGGCTAGGGAAACCCAGCCAGATGGGCGGGGTATAAATAATAAATTTATTATTATTATTATTATTATTATTATTAGCATCACTGAAGTTGAGCCAATAAAAATATTTAAGTTTCTATTCCATTGCCCCCCCCCCTTTGTGTGATAGCAGAAGACACATGCAAGCTGATGGGTTTGATAAACTGCTGCAAATTACTAGTGAAAGAGCAAATCACTTTTAAGTAATATTAAAATTAAGCAGATCCACCTGTAGGCTTACAGTTTAAAGACACAGTGCCAGGGGGGCAGGACAGAAAATTAAAGGGTGGGAAAAGAGACTGAAGGCCAGTAAGAAAATTCCAGGGTAAATAGATGATGATGATTTATCCATTTGATTTAGATTCTACCTTTTCTTCCCAAAAGAGTCCAGGGCTAACATAAGGTAAAGGTAAAGGTACCCCTGCCCGTACGGGCCAGTCTTGCCAGACTCTAGGGTTGTGCGCCCATCTCACTCTATAGGCCGGGGGCCAGCGCTGTCCGCAGACACTTCCGGGTCACGTGGCCAGCGTGACATCGCTGCTCTGACGAGCCAGCACAGCACACGGAACGCTATTTACCTTCCCGCTGGTAAGCGGTCCCTATTTATCTACTTGCACCCGGGGGTGCTTTCGAACTGCTAGGTTGGCAGGTGCTGGGACCGAACGATGGGAGCGCACCCCGCCGCGGGGATTCGAACCGCCGACCTTTCGATCGGCAAGTCCTAGACGCTGAGGCTTTAACCCACAGCGCCACCCGCGTCCAGGGCTAACATACGACATTATAAATACTGGAACATAACTAAAAGTGTTGCCAAAATTTTTTTTAAATGGTTTCAAACCCACTTTTGGTATAGATATCTAAATTTCCAAGCTGTGCTCCCATTGCGAAATACAAAGGGTTCTGTAAGGTTTAGGTTTTAGATTGGAAGCTTTGCTGTACAAGTGTCATGCAGGAGCAGACAAAGGAAGACGAGACCGTAGATAAGGAAGACCACGGAAATACTTGAAAGTAAGCTTAAGAAGCTTAGTGCAAAGTTGACAAGCAGGAGAAAGCTGGTGAATGGAGTGGTACAAAGGAGTAAGTGATCTGAATGATGAGAGGGAGGTATCATGGCAGTGAGGACAGTTAAGGCACAGCAGAGAGGTTTAAGTAGGAAGGCAGGCATCAAAACTTAAAATAATTGAGAGGTGAGCTGTGCCAAATGGGGCCATTGGGCGTAGGTCAGACTCTGAGAGGGCTGAGTGGAAACCCAGGGAGAGAATCCCAGCTGGGCAGGGGTGGGGAGAGAGGGGTGGCTTTTTGGGGAATCTCTTCATCTGGGGTACTGGTAGGAAAATCTCTGGAGGGGCTCCCAGGCTGCCTTGGCTTCTCCCACCTTTTCAGGAATCTGTGACTCTTAAAAGTCATCCTAGAGAGGGACCCCTAAAAAGGGGGAGTTTCAATTCCTCCCAGCCTCTGTTCTTCCCTGGAAGCTAAATCCCACTTAACACCTAGAAGATTATGCACATCTCAATCTACATTTCTAAAAAACACAGCAAAAACATCCTACCAGTTCAATTGGGCTCAGATAAGCATCACGATACATATTGGGGAGTGAGCACCCATATATTAAGATACATCTTTGAAAGGAGGGTTTCTGGTGAGAAACTGACATGGGGAAAAGATTGAAGTATTTTGGTCCTGATCAAGTTTGGGAATGGGCCTTATGACTGCACTTTATAAACAAAAAAGATGTGATCTGCCTAAGCATTATTTTGGATGACATGCATAAAGTCACATCTAGTGTGACCCTTATTTTATCCATGTTGCATATGACATGAGAGAAGGTAGTTCGTTGAAGGACATCCCATCTGGTTTGTGGCAAAGATGAAGAACTGCACCAGGGACTGCCGAATCTATGGATCATTCCCTTAGCCACATTGGTTCTCTAACTCTAATCCTAGAGAGGCAGTGATTTGTGTTTGTGGGACAGAAAAGTTAAAAACAACCACTCAATATTCAATGCAAAGAAAGGCTCCCATGGCAGCTCAGAGAGTTTTTCGGGATGCAAAGTCACCTTTTTGTGTGACTTAGCAATTTATATCTTTTAAAGATCTGCCAGGAAAAGAAGCATGGAATACTGGCACTTTAGCCATTGTAAAAATGTGGTTTCCAGTGCAAAGTTAAGCTTCCTTTGTACAAAGGGATTCTGTTGGCTGAAAAGAAACAAAAAGGCAGAGATGCATGACCTTTGGAAATCAGGGAAAGCACCACAGTCATCCCAGACTTGAAGGGCATTTTCACGGCAATAAAAGCTATTGTGCCTTGCTGGTTGATTGATATGTCTCTCCCCCCCCCCCCTTGCTGCTTCATTGATAACTGAGTAGCCAGTTTTCAAGGCGATTGCCATTGTGGATCTGGGTGTCGCCTGACAATAAAAAAACAGCTACTTGAGACTGGTGTGCCAGCGCAGGGGGCAGGGATGCAATGCTGGAGAAGTGTTTTGAGAAAGCCTGAGAATAAAATATTTTATTATATATGGGAAAAGCAGTTAACCAGAGAGAAGTGAGTCAATAATTTAATCTTCAAGTGTTAATGGTTCCCATTAGGAGCCATTAAATGGCACATTGAGCCATCTTACAGTGCCATACAAGACCCAGGCTGGAGAATCCTTGCTCCTGCAACTGTTGCTGAACTACAGCTCCCATCAAGCATGGCAAATGGCCAAGGAAGATGGGAGTTGTAGTTTAGCAACATCTGGAAGGCCAAAGGTTCCACAGACCTGCGTTGCATCATCATCGGTGGCAGACTTTGGGCTCTCAAATTTCAGCAGCGCCCTGTTTGATGCTAAAATCTAGCATTCCACACCCCACCCCATTCTGCAGCATTCTTGTGGACCCCCCCCCCAGTGGGGCACCCAGTTGGTCGCACTACCCTAAAACTACCTCTGCCATCATCCAGTTCCCAGCAGTGGTTTCCTCCCTCCTCCAACTGTCACCTCTCCACAGGGCCTCTGTTAAACCCTGAGGTGAGCGAGAAGCAGCAGTTACAGCCTCTTCTCAATGTGCAATGGCATTTTCTATTAATATTGTAAACCCTTGCACTGCTTGGATTCAGGCCGAGATAATTCACCATTTGCTTACTTTCCATGACATTCAAAAATAGCTGCCTAAGGTAGGAATGGTTCTGGTTAGTACTTGTCAATGCTCCCTTTTCCTCACAGTCTTGAAGACTGGTAGTGTCGTGATTATGATACATTCCTTTGGATTGTGGTGAAAGCCCCACAGATGAGGTACAACCCTTGGCTATATTTTAGCCTCACAAACTAGATACAACTTACTTGTTGTAAAACAAGTTGTCATACAACTTACTTGTACACAAAAAGATGCAACTTACTTGTTGTCATCAGAGCTAGTAGTGACACCTATATTATATCATTGATTTGTCATAATAAATCAATGATATAATCTAGGAGTCACTACGAGCTCTGATGACAACAAGTAAGTTGTATCTTTTTGGTGTAAGTGGCAATTCTTTAAAATGTCTTGTTTTGTCCACAGGATGCCTCCCTCACCGAGGTCAATTCATTCAGTCCCTTGATGCCCACATCCCCGTCTTCAATGATCAATCAGTACAAATTTGACGATGAACCGGAATTAAAGGATCTTTTCATTACAGTTGACGATCCAGAAAGCCACATCACTGCCCTAGAGACGTTCATCACTTACAGAGTTGTTACAAAGGTTAGTTTCCTATTGCCGCAAATTTCCGCTTTGGCCATTTAAATTAAACTTTGCAGCTGGTACCGATGTCGCAGGTGTTATGTGGTAAGGTAACGTAAGGTAAAGGGTAAAGGGGCCCCTGACCATTAGGTCCAGTCATGACTGACTCTGGGGTTGCGGTGCTCATCTCGCTTTACTGACCAGCAAGACTAAGCCGCTTCTGGCGAACCAGAGCAGCGCACGGAAATGCCGTTTACCTTCCCACCGGAGAGGTACCTATTTATCTACTTGCACTTTGACATGCTTTTGAACTGCTAGTTTGGCAGGAGCAGAGACCGAGCAATGGGAGCTCACCCCGTCACAGGGATTCGAACTGCCGACCTTCTGATCGGCAAGTTCTAGGCTCTGTGGTTTAACCCACTGTGTGGTACTTGGCGAGAAAGAAGCATGTCTGTTCCGCTTGCCTTAGAGCAGGGGTTGGCAAGGTTTACCTCGCATGCGCCGGTTCACTCCAGCAGAGATCTCTGTGTGGGCTGGATTGCGTGCCTGAGTGCGCACGCGATTTCCGGCCTCTGTGCAGATTTCCAGCATCTGCATCTGCGCAGACGTGATTTCCGGCATCTGCATATATGTAGACATGATTTCCAGCACCACGGGAGTGAGTCCCCACGCCAGTTTAGCGCAGCTCACAGGGACTCACTGAGCGGGCGACTTGGTTCAGGAGCAGCTCATGGGCTGGTTAAATGACCCCTGTGGGCTGCTTGTTGCCCATGGGCCTTAGGATACCTACCCCTGCCTTAGAGGAAGCCAGATGTTGTCAGACTATAGCTCCCATCATCCCTCACCACTGGGACTGATGGGAATCCGAGACTTTACCTGGGGGGCAGCTACTCCTACCTGAGAGGGATTTGGGCTTGGGCTTCCCCAACAGCCATGTGACAGACTTTTTGAAATAAGAATAATGTTGAAGGGTTTTTTTTACCCCCAAATAAGGGGGGTTTCAAAAGCTGTGTGTGATATAGCATGCGATTCTGCTGGGGGGGGGGTGGGAACGGTCAGCAAGAATGTTGATTGCACAAAATTGGAAGACTGGAGAAATACCAACTAAAGAACAATGGCAAGAGAAGTTGATGAACTATGCAGAACTGGCAAAAATGACAGATAGATTTAGAGAAAAAGACAACAGTGACTTTGAAAAAGAATGGGAACCATTTATATTATATTTGCAGAAACAAAGAATGTCAATAGACTTGATGGCAGGATTTAAATAAACATTCACATTATTAGTATTAGGAAATGTTTAGAAAATAGTGAAATATTATAGTGTATTTAATTTTATTTTTAAGTTTTTAGGCTTGATGTTATGTTATTAATAACTTTTTCTGTTAGGAGATAGCAAAGTGGGTGAAAAGAGAAACAAACCGGAAGCAGAAGTTGGGGGAATATATAATAAATGTTAAGAAATTGAGATGTATGTAATGAATGAAAAAGAAAAATGAATAAATAAATAAATAGTCAGAAATCCCATGGGGTGTCCTGGCCAAAGCTATTCATATGAATGGAAAGATAACAAGGAAGTGGTTTGGCAAGGCTGCCTGCCAGTTTATGATAGTTACCTTCTGCATACATACATACACACAAACACACACCCCTACATCTATATCTACAGTTCTACACACACATATTCCTGCCTTGTGATTATGCTTTATAACCTTTCACAGATATTTCTCCTATACACATACACACACACGTTTGTCTGGCAGTTACACGACAATCTTAAAATGAGGGGTGATGAATATAGGAATATATTTGTGGCTGCAGTGAAATGTACTTTGCCCATTTTTTAAATTAAAAAAACCACACAACCAGTCAGTTTTGAAGTCTCCCTGAGAAGTGCTGAGTTTCTAAGGACCAGCTTAGATCACAGAGTTGGAAGGGACCTTGTTCCCCGGTGCACAAGAAGATGCCACCCATTTTAGATTCTTCTCTGCAGGTTCTTCTCAAAAGGCTGCTTAAAGCTTAGACGTCTTCAGAGCATGCGGTAAATGCAATCTGTGCTAATTTGTGCTGCAGTAAGACTGAATGATCTCATGAACCTAGCTCATGCTCAGAGTCATGAATTGTAGTTCTTCTCTGGCTGTGTGAAGTTCTTCGGATACAAAAGGACCTCTGTGCCGAAGCGGAAGTCCCATTCATAGTGGCTGCTCAATAATCATGCACTGTTTGCTTTTAAAACACTCATTCTCTCCGCCAGATAGCCATTATACACCATGAGTGCCTGAAGGCCTTTTTGACATATGCATCATTTGACTGTCTTCTGTATGTTTTCTAGACAATGCGTGGTGAATTCGACTCCAGTGAGTATGAAGTTAGACGACGCTATCAAGATTTCCTTTGGTTAAAGGGAAGGCTTGAGGAAGCACACCCAACTCTCATCGTTCCTGTAGGTCTAATCAACTCTTGTTTTGTTAGGCAGAAAGCTGAGATTGAAAGAAGAGAAAAAGCACATTGGATGGGCTAAACTGATTTCTTAAGAGTGATAAGTGGTAACTGTTCTATTTCTGCAGTGTATACTCTCCCTCATATTTGTTCTAATAATGAAACCACTGCATATTTTATTTTGACTTGGTTCGCATGTAACACTAAACCATGTTCTAATGTTTTGAAGATAAGCCTAAGTGAGCCTTGGGCTACCCCCCTCCTCTCACCCTTTGAGCCTCTGCTTTTATTTTAGATGAATCACAGTTAGAATAATGCAAAAAGCCCAAATCTTAAATGAAAGCAAGCCATGCCAGAGGAGGAGGAGGAGAATGTGAGCCCATTGAATCACCTAGCCTCATTCTTGTGACACTATAAACTATGGTTTCGGGTTACATCCAAAGCAGACCAATATTTTTAGAATGGCTGTTTACATATACATGCACTTATAAAACTGTGTTTTCCCTTCCATTATCTTTCTGCCTTAGCCATTGCCTGAAAAATTCATAATGAAAGGAGTTGTGGAACGATTTAATGAAGAATTCATTGAAAGGAGAAAGAAAGCACTGCATAAATTTTTAAACCGGATTGCTGATCATCCCACTTTAACTTTTAATGAGGACCTCAAAATTTTTCTTACTGCACAAGCCTGGGTAAATATTCTTTTTTTATTTTGTTGTGATGATCATAAAAGTAAGATTTGTCAAGTCTGACCAAAATAGGTACCTATCTAACTGGGTTAGGATGAATTCAGACTATTCCTCCTCCTTTCCCCCAGGATTGTAATTGGGGAGAGGTTGTGCACTAACTTCAGACACCTCTTTTCTTCTCCTGCACCCTTCCATGTTCTCTGCAGACCAAAACTGAGAGAAAGCAGACAGAGAGAACTCCCTGTTTGCTCATTCAGAGCAAAAGATCTCCTCCTTGCTTCTGTCCGGATACAGTCCAGATCAAAAATACCCTGTTGCGTTTACCCTGTGTTTTCGTTTTTTATGGAATATTCAGGGAAAGAGCCTAGGACCTTAGGAAAGCCACTATGAAACAACACATCTTCTCAGAAAGCTTAGTTGGAGTATCAAATGGGAATTGTGTTATGGGAATGCCTTTGAATATTTATAGGCACCAGTTTATTTTTACTTAAGTGGGGATTATAGACAAAGCCATGCTTTTAAAGAAGTCATTGAAAGCACTGGACAAAACAAGGAACACAAGAGCAAAAAGACACGAGAATTATTATTATTATTATTATTATTATTATTATTATTATTATTACAGTCATACCTTGGGTTACGAATGCTGCTGGTTGTCCGTTTTTGGGTTGCGAACCGCACCAAACCTGGAAGTACCGGAACGAGTTACTTCTGGGTTTTGGCACTCGTGCATGCGCAGAAGCGCAGAATCGCATCACACACGTGCGTAGACACAGCGCTTCAGACTGCAAACGTTGTGGGTTGCGAACATGCCTCCCGCACGGATCACATTCGCAACCAGAGGTATGACTGTAATAGGTAATAGTTATATGCTTCTCATCTGATTGGGTTACCCAAGCCACACTGGGAGGCTGCCAACAAATTAAAACACAGTAAGACATCAAACATTCAAAACCTCCCTATACAGGGCTGCCTTCAGATGTCAGATAGTTGTTTATTTCCTTGACATCTGGTGGGAGGGTGTTCCACAGGGCAGGCGCGACCACTGAGAAGGCCCTTTGCCTGGTTCCCTTCAACCTCACGTTTCACAATGCAGGAACTGCCAGAGGTTATACCTTAGTAGAGTGTGAGTTAGCAGATTAATTTTGGTATCAGCGATGGGAACAAAGGTTTGTCATGTTTCATATGGACTGTGATGTGAACTTGGGTTTTTACTACATTTTTTTTTAAGTACGTAAACAACAACTCACCTAAGTCAAAGCTTGATTTCATCCCTTAATTTTTAGGAACTTTCATCTCACAAGAAGCAGGGGCCTGGTCTGCTCAGCAGAATGGGACAAACGGTCAAAGCAGTCGCGTCGTCGATGCGAGGAGCGCCCGTGAAGAACCGCCCAGAAGCATTTACAGAAATGATGGACCACGTGGAGGTGTTTAGCCAGAAAATCAATCTGTTGGATAAAATCTCCCACCGAGTCTACAGGGAAGAAAGAGGTTGGTGGAAAAGAAAGCCAACTTTCTCGGCTATTTCTGGTGGGCTTCCAGTTTCTTCCTCCGTTCTGGCTTCAGAATCCCCACAGTAGGGCAAATTAGAATCCGGCCTCTGTTCCCTCTTCATGTATACCAATATGATCTCCATTTTCTGAGTAGGGATGTTTAAGTAATCAAAATGGTACTATTCACACACAAGAAGGGGTTATCAGCAGGCTTGGAGGAGCCACAAGTTTTGGAAAAGTAGTAAACATATTTAGAAAGACTAGGGTTGAGGAGGCAGAATCGGTCCAACGAGGACCGAGCATGCTCAGTGCTTGCAGAATGCTGACTAACTATTGAGGGTGGGTAAATAGTAAACCTGGTGGGAGGGTGATGGAACCGGAGTAGCTGGAATTCTGATCAGTGAGACGTCACGCTGCAACATTTTGCTGCAGACCCCACTTGTCCCAAATAGAAATTAAAGAACTATCTGCCATGAACTCAAGACCAGATCTTCAGCTAATTATGTGTTCCTCACCTGTCAAATGGGACTGACCTGGTCACAGACATTTTTAAAAATATTCTGGTTTTTATTTTATTTTAGAAATGGAGTTTAAATGCCAATCCCTTCTCTTCTCTCCCCTCGCCCTTTAAAGACTATTTTTGTGAGCTGAAGGAGTTTGGCCCCATCCACACGCTTTGGTCCACATCCGAAGTAGACCTGGCGGACACGCTGAAAGGGGTGGCAGGCTGCATCGACAAGTGCTGCAAGGCGACTGAGAAACAGATGGCAGGGCTCTCCGAAAGCCTCTTCCCTACTCTGCATGAATATGTGCTGTACAGTGAAATATTAATGGTAGGATGGAACGGGCACTGCGTGGATTCATCTGTCATGGACTCTTGTTTTCAACACCCTTCCCTCTGATTGCATTGCTGTAGTGTAAGCGGCCTGTTAGATGACTGCAGTCAGTGTGTTTTCTTAGCTGGTGTTGGCAATGCAATACTTTGGGTAAGGGCAGCAAGCCTGGTGCTCTCTAGGTGTTGCTGGACTATTAGCTCCCATCAGCCCTTGCCACTGGCCATGCTGGCTGGGGTTGATGAGAGCTGGAAGTCCAACAATACCTGAAGATCTGGCCACCCTCTGGCTTAAGAGACTGAGCATCTGGCCTTTTTATTCTGCATCATCATCATCATCATCAAAACAATATGCCTCCTATCTGACTGGGTTGCCCCTGCCACTCTGGGCAGCTTCCAACAAATTAAAACAACACACAGTAAAGCATCAAACGTTAAACATAGAGGACTGCCTTCATATAGAGGGTCTTTATTCCCTTGACATCTGGAGGGCGTTCCACAGGGCAGGTGCCACTACCAAGAAGGCCACTGTAACTTTATTTCTTGCAGTGAGGGAACTGCCAGAAGACCCTCAGAGGTGCTGGATCTCAACTGAATCACAGGGGTGGAGATGCTCCTTCAGGTGTACAGGGCTGGAGCCGTTTAGGGTGGGCCTAATGTCCTTGATGGGACGCAGGTGGCGCTGTGGGTTAAACCACAGAGACTAAGGCTTGCCAATCAGAAGGTCGGCGGTTTGAATCCCCGCGATGGGGTGAGCTCCTGTTTCATTGTCCCTGCTCCTGCCAACCTAGCAGTTTGAAAGCATGTCAAAGTGCAAATAGATAAATAGGTACCACTCCGGCAGGAAGGTAAATGGCGTTTCCTTGCGCTGCTCTGGTTCGCCAGAAGCAGCTCAGTCATGCTGGCCACATGACCCGGAAGCTGTACGCCGGCTCCCTCGGCCAATAAAGCGAAATGAGTGCCGCAGCCCCAGAGTCGTCCGCGACTGGACCTAATGGTGAGGGGTCCTTTTACCTTTTTACAACCTGAGCATGAGATGGCAGGGCTCACAGCAATAGCCCTTCAACAGATCTTGCTTCCCCATTAAGTTTCCAGGCAGTTCCCTAATGCCAAAGCGAGGCAAGCAACTGTGTCTCTTCAGCTTTAGTCTATTGGTTTTCCAGCTCTTTGATGACCTGGCATTCAGCTAGGTGAGTGGGGAAGCCCCACACATTTGTCTCTATGGCAACATGGCCCACTCTTCAAGATGCTAATGGGGTACTTAGCTGGGCCAGCTAAGGCCATTATCTTATGGAGAGGCTGGTTTGACCAGTCCCCCTACTACAATCACAGGATTGGTTGGGGTCCATGGATATAATCCAGACCACCTCCCAGTCCTGAGTGGTTCTGAGCTCTGAAAGCAAACTTTATAGGTAATAGGGTGCTGATGAGTTGTCAGTATCCAGTGAGTCCAGCATTGCATTGTCTGCAGTGCTAGAGTTTTTGTCCTGAGAACCACCTTGAGGGTAGTATATAAATTTAACTAATTATGTGCTGTAAGCCAACCATGGGACGCGGGTGGCGCTGTGGGTTAAACTACAGAGCCTAGGACTTGCTGATCAGAAGGTCGGCGGTTCGAATCCCCGTGACGGGGCGAGCTTCCGTTGCTCGGTCCCTGCTCCTGCCAACCTAGCAGTTCAAAAGCACGTCAAAGTGCAGCTAGATAAATAGGTACCGCTCCGGCGGGAAGGTAAACGGTGTTTCCGTGTGCTGCTCTGGTTCGCCAGAAGCAGCTTAGTCATGCTGGCCACATGACCCGGAAGCTGTACGCCGGCTCCCTCGGCCAGTAAAGTGAGATGAGCGCCGCAACCCCAGAGTCGGTCACGACTAGACCTAATGGTCAGGGGCCCCCTTTGCAAGTCAACCATATATGCTGTAAGTCGCCCAGAGTGGCTAGGGATACCCAGCCAGATGGGTGGGATATAAATAATAAAAAATATTGTTGTTGTTTAATCATCATCGTCATCATCATAGCAACAACAACAACAACAACTCATCATAAACGCCTTCCTTGTTCTCTTACAATGGCAATGGTCCCCACCTGAGAGGTGCCGGATCCGAATTCTGGTGACTTATGGCTGAAAAAAAGCCCTGGTTGTCTGTATCTTCAAGTTTCCTCTGAGCAAAATCCTTACCTTTGTTTCGAGGGTGCTGTTTTCTGTCAGCGTAGTCAGCATCTTGAGTGGAAAACTGTCTTCCCCTCCTCACTTTCTCACCTCTTAAAGGTTGCCAGCCTCAACACCACCTCTGATGTACAATTTCTCTTGAGCAGCAATGCACAATAACTGTTTTCTAGCGAGAGAAAATCAGAAGCAAAAGATTATTTGGAAGGTGGGCCAGAGCTTGTGGGTCTGCAGCTCAGAGTAAAACGCCCTTAAACTCCAGTGGCATGAAGAGAACTTTGATGTGTCTGTTTTTCTCTGAATCACATCCAATATGCTTTCATCACAACTGAACCCCCTCTACTTATAGGGTACTTACCAGGAATGGCATAGCGTTTTCAAAGCAAAGGGGACAATTTGAAAAGCTCCATTCTGCCTGCAATTGTGTGTGTGTGTGTGTGTGTGTGTGTTGTGTACTGTATATTCTTGTGGCCAATCTGATTGTGCAGCTATCAAAGGAAAATTGGAGGTAGAAGCCTCCACAGCAGTAGAGGAAAAATTGCTCAAAATATCTGGCATCTGTACACAACTTGGCAGGATTCACTCAAGAATGTAGCCCTGAATAGCCATTTTAGGCATAAAGGGGGGAGTGTTTGCTTTGAAGCAGCTCTGCTGCTGTTACACAAACTCTCCTTATACAGTGGTACCTCAGGTTACATACGCTTCAGGCTACAGACTCCGCTAACCCAGAAATAGTGCTTCAGGTTAAGAACTTTGCTTCAGGATGAGAACAGAAATCGTGCTCCGGTGGTGCGGCGGCAGCAGGAGGCCCCATTAGCTAAAGTGGTGCTTCAGGTTAAGAACTATTTCAGGTTAAGTACAGACCTCCGGAACGAATTAAGTACTTAACCTGAGGTTCCACTGTACATGTGAGGGAACTGTGGATATCAGGGAAAGGCTCTGCCGCTCCGTACAGCCCGGCTGGTTTGGATTTTGCCCCAAGTTAGCCCCTAAAGTGCCTCAAAGTATAAGCACACTGCAGAGATTAAAAATAAGGCAGTCACGACCCATGTGCTTACAATCTAATGAATGTGATAGATAAGGAAAAGGGGTTGAGGAGGGGAGAGGAAAACAAAGGCTGGAGCAGCATGTTCTTTTTGGAAGGGATGAGGGAAGGAAACTCCCTGCGCCATTCATTTTCAAGACAATGGCTGGAGCCAACTTGGTCTCCTGCTTGCCATGGCAGTCTTCCTGGGAGACATTAGGTGCAGCTTCTCTGTGGCCTTCAGTCTCTTCTCTGATGGCAAGAGCTAAAATGTGCTTCCCTTCAGCTTCACATTCCCTGGGAAGCTGATGGTTGGAGCTGGCTGTTGTTTTCTTCTGATGGGGGTGGGGGAAGCTTTGTGAAATGGCTTCTTGTCTGTCCAGTGGCTGGGATCAAGCTGCTCTCCACTGTTTCTCCCAGGAGGCAGCCTCACAGTAGCTTTTAGTCCCCTGTCCAATTGATGGAGACAGAGTATGCTTCCATGTAATGTATCCTCAATGGATTTGTCTAGTGCTCATTTTTAAAAGTTCAAGTTAGCAGCCATTATCACATTATTATTTTTTTGGCAGCAGATTCCTTAAATAAAATATGCATTGTGTACTTTCCTTTATCTGTAGTGAATCTGCCAATTTCATAGGACAAGAGACAGAAATGTCTGTATCCACCTTCTTCCAAGTTTCTAATGAAAATATTTGTTGGGAGCTTCCTTTCATAAATTATTTAACGGACGAAACATTGCTCTGTTATATGTATGTGTGTGTGTATATATATATATATATATATATATATATATATATATGCTTTCGTAGATTTTCACGGGTACAGGAATGCAGGTTTTGGTGTCCTCGGGTGTCTTCCCGTGTAAAAGTTGGGGTGTCTAGGCGACGTTTCGACGAGGTCTCACTCGTCATCTTCAGGCTGGTGCTTTCGGCTTCTTGTTACTGGAACAGAGCAGGATCTCAGTGTTTGAGTTCCTATAAATACTGTTGAGGGGGTGTGGTGTATAGCCTCCAATGTTCTGGGCAGAGAGGAAGTTCCCAGGTTAGTGTGCCTTTTCTTCTTTTGTTCCTTAATTACTTGAGGGATATCTTGAGTGATTTCTTGAGTGATATCCTGAGTACCACTTAGGTGGGTCATTAGGTGTGGATTAGTTGCTAAAGCCTTCGTGTCTTGACCTCTTGAACTTTGTGAAGAGTTTTTCTGAGAAGATGGCTGTACTGCAATTAGTTGTGCTCTGGCTTGGCTTCGTGTATAGGGGCGAGCTGTGGTTTTGTGTCCTGTGCCAGCCAGATCTGTGTAGGGATTGCAGGGGGGTGCAGCATCCGGAGGTGCCACCATGGTTTGGCTACTGGATGGTGTCTGTAATTTATCTGTGGAGAGGGTCTGGGTTTGGGTCTGGTGTGGTTGATTGGTGATGGCGTTCTGTGTGCCTCTGGATCTGGTGTCGGTTTTTGTGGGGAGGGCTAATTTCCAGATGTCTGGCAGGCGGGATGTGTCGTCACGCTTGTTCATGTTGTGAGGGTGTTTCTCTATCTCGATGGCTTCCATGATTATTCTCTTGTGGTGATGTTCCATGTTAGAGAGCAATTTGGAATCTGCAAAATTAATGCAAAGTCTGCCCAGCCACGTACATTGGACAAACAAACAGACGAATAAATGCACGTATCGCAGAACACAAGAATGCCGTCAAAAAAGAAGAAAAAACTTCCTCTCTTTTCCAACACATGAAAGAAACAGGACACGAAATTAATTTTGCAGATTCCAAATTGCTCTCTAACATGGAACATCACCACAAGAGAATAATCATGGAAGCCATCGAGATAGAGAAACACCCTCACAACATGAACAAGCGTGACGACACATCCCGCCTGCCAGACATCTGGAAATTAGCCCTCCCCACAAAAACCGACACCAGATCCAGAGGCACACAGAACGCCATCACCAATCAACCACACCAGACCCAAACCCAGACCCTCTCCACAGATAAATTACAGACACCATCCAGTAGCCAAACCATGGTGGCACCTCCGGATGCTGCACCCCCCTGCAATCCCTACACAGATCTGGCTGGCACAGGACACAAAACCACAGCTCGCCCCTATACACGAAGCCAAGCCAGAGCACAACTAATTGCAGTACAGCCATCTTCTCAGAAAAACTCTTCACAAAGTTCAAGAGGTCAAGACACGAAGGCTTTAGCAACTAATCCACACCTAATGACCCACCTAAGTGGTACTCAGGATATCACTCAAGAAATCACTCAAGATATCCCTCAAGTAATTAAGGAACAAAAGAAGAAAAGGCACACTAACCTGGGAACTTCCTCTCTGCCCAGAACATTGGAGGCTATACACCACACCCCCTCAACAGTATTTATAGGAACTCAAACACTGAGATCCTGCTCTGTTCCAGTAACAAGAAGCCGAAAGCACCAGCCTGAAGATGACGAGTGAGACCTCGTCGAAACGTCGCCTAGACACCCCAACTTTTACACGGGAAGACACCCGAGGACACCAAAACCTGCATATATATATATATATATATATCTCACTCACTCTTTTTCTCTCTCTCCTGTTTTGCAATTCAGGGGGTTTTGAAAAGAAGAGACCACATACAAGCAGAGCTGGATTCCAAAGTGGACGCTCTATATAATAAAAGGGCAGAAAATGATCTGGTGAGTATGCCAACCATTGCTAAATAATAATGGGTTACTTCTTGCTGTAATTAAAAAATTGATGCAGTCGCATCACATAACTGTGCTAATGAAACATGATGGCAAAGGGCTTGCACCAGGGCTCAGCCTTCCTGGGATGCATCCCTCTAGCTCAGTATACTGTCGAATTTTACTGCTAGAGGTCTTCAAGGATCACTGACGGAGATCTTTCCTACAATGACTCTTTAAACTGGAAATAGCTAGGGATTGAGCCTACTGATCTACAGCTCCTGCCCCAACACTCTATCTTTCCCTTATGCTGTTGTAAGCACTCCTATCTCTGAGTGGTGAAAGACTCTAGGGGTTCCAGTGTTTAGTTTTCTTGGAATGGGGTTGAGTAGAAATTGTGGTGTCTTTACAGTGGTACCTTGGTTCTCAAACTTAATCCGTTCCAGAAATCTGTTCCAAAAGCAAAGCGTTCCAAAACCAAGGCGCACTTTCCCATAGAAAGTAATCCAAAATGGATTAATCCATTCCAGACTTTTAAAAACAAAGCCCTAAAACAGCAATTTAACATGTATGTTACTATCTAACGAGACCATTGATCCATAAAACAAAAGCAATACACAACGTACTGCAGTCACACAATCAATCAGTGGCTGAACTGGGTTCCACACAGTCACAAAAACAAAACAAAAAAGAGCCGCAAAAACAAAAATGCAAAATAAAGAGCAAAAACAGACAGACAGAGTAACACTCAAAACAGAAGTGTGGCACTCAAAATGGAAGTGTGGCACTCAAAACGGAAGCACAACACTCAAAATGGAGCACATTTGGCTTCTGAAAAAAGTTCGCACACCGGAACACTCACTTCCAGCTTTGCAGTGTTTGGGTTCCAAGTTGTTTGAGTACCAAGGCATTTAAGAACCAAGGTACCACTGTAGGAATTTGGTGTGCTGATCTTGAACATATTTAGCAGACCACTTTCTCCTTTCACCATGACATCTTACGAACCTCTTGAATGATTATATCTGTTAAGTCAAATTTTGTGGAAGGATGTAAAAGCGCATCGTTGGAAACTGCCCCTCCCATCTACAGATGGTGTCTGGAAAAAGAATGCAAACTTCCCCTCTTAGCTGCTATCCCTCTTCCTCCCCGCATGTTTGCAAGCTAATCACATTTCAGGAACAATGGATTTGAACCTTGGCTTCCAATTAAGTTCCACACTCCAGCAACTACATCTTTTATTGTGGGGAAAACAATTCAGGAGGTACAGTTTGCTAGTCTGTGCTCAAAAGAGAGATGATGTCACAGTACTGGTCTTGTATCTCAGATTTTTATCTTGAGCGTGCGCACACACACAAAACACTTTCTAATAGAATTGTCATCCGATTTGTCCTAAGGAAGTTTGGAGATTCCTGCTTGGACAAAACATCTGAAAAATGGCAAGGGAAGCAAAATGAGTTCGGGTAAAAACAAGTATCATTTCTGCAAGGGTGTTCCATTGTAGCCCTGAGTTGTCGCTGGCATTTGTCTAAATCGAAATCGTGTCATGAATCTGCAGGTTGCTGCTCAGGCCAGACACCTGAGGAATAAGGGGGAATGTAAAAGAGTTTTGTTGTGACTTGCAAAATTTCTCAGGGAATGCAGAGATGGGAGCAGAGTGAAACGAGCGATCCGTGATCAAGCTCCACGAAACCACCAAATTGCCTTAACCATGATAGCGTGCAATGGAACTCACAATCACAGAGTAGTTGAGGGACAGTCATTCTCCAGTGAGTAAAAGCTTCGCCTGTCAACACCTGCCTGTCACACAGTCATTAGACAGCAGAGCTTCAATTGGTTGAAAAAGCAGAACACATCTTGCTCACGTTAGGTGTGATGACCATACAAGAACATCAGAATCCAAAGCCTATCTAAGTCCAGCGTTCTGTTCACACAGTAGCCAATCAGATGCCTATTCTTCTGTCCACAAGTAGGCTGCTGATTTCTTTCCAATTGCTTTACCGCTTTGTGTACGAAGCTCTGTATGGTTCTGGAGCAATGACAAAACCACGACTCTCCTAAATCCCACCTCGGTCACTTAGATTTGTGGAAGAGGGTGGTTGGAGCTGGCTGGGATGAGGAAAGGAAATTCCCTGCGCCATTCATTTTCAAGACAATGGCTGGAGCCAGGTTGGTCTCCTGCTTGCCATGGCATTCTTCCCGGGAGGCACTGAAAGAGTGTCTCCACCCCCATCGTTCTACCCGGACACTGAGGTCCAGCGCCAAGGGCCTTCTGGCAGTTCCCTCACTGCGAGAAGCCAAGTTACAGGGAACCAGGCAGAGGGCCTTTTTGGTAGTGGCACCCGCCCTGTGGAACGCCCTCCCACCAGATGTCAAAGAGAACAACAACTACCAGACTTTTAGAAGACCTCTAAAGGCAGCCCTGTTTAGGGAAGCTTTTAATGTTTTATGCATCACTGTATTTTAATATTGTGTTGGAAACCGCCCAGAGAGGCTGGGGAAACCCAGCCAGATTGGCGGGGTATAAATAAATTGTTGTTGTTGTTGTTGTTGTTGTTGTTGTTGTTGTTGTTGTTCCTGCAGCCTTTGGTCTCTTCTCTGATAGCAGAGGCCAAATTGTGCCACTTTTTTTTTTTTAAGATATTTATTAGAATTTTACAAAATGAAAAAAGAAAAAAGAAAAATACAAAGTAAAAATAGATAAAAAACAATTCCATCTTTCCATCACTTTCTTTCATTTGCTTATTTCCCGGACCCCCTCACACCTCCCTTTTTGTATTCCAGTTCAATTTCTTAGTTCAGCAAATCCTCCCCCTCTTTGTTTATCCTAATCTTTAATCTTAAAATAATGTAACATTAAATTTTTGTCTATTAATAGTCCTTTTTTTTCATACTCCTTATAGCATTATAGCTAAAAACCACATAACTTTTCATCCAACATCATTCTAACATTCATTAATTTTACAATATTTCTGTAAATATTCTTTAAATTTCTTCCAATCTTCTTCCAAATTGTGCCACTTTTAGAAGCTTTGCCTCTGCAGCAAAGCATGCTAGGACTGGAGGGTGCTTTTAGTGTTGTGGCATCTGTGTGTTCTTTTCTGAGAAGAAAACAAAGCCTTGTGCAATTGCTTCTTGTCTGGCCAGTGGCTGGGATCAAACTACTCTCCAAGTTCTTCCTGGGAGGCAGCCTCATGGAGCTCTCAGCTTCCACCACTCCTCCTCATCCAGCCAGTCTCCGACATGCCCTCTCTGGCCATGATGGATAGGGCTGATGAGAATTGGAGTCCAACAAAATCTGGAGAGCCACATGCATTGCAGGGGGTTGGACTAGATAACCCTTGGGTCCCTTCCAACTCTACAGTTCTATAATTCTGTGTTGCCTATCTGTCTTTCAAGTATTCAGAATATGGGACATCTTTTTTTTCACTCCTGCCCCCAACAAAAAAGAAATCATATAAACAGTGCTTTTTTTCTGGGGGTACGCATACCCCTAAACATTTTGTGAATCTAAGTTTGGCCTCATTGAGGGGCAGTATTTCAATATGAGTAGGTGCTGGAGGAGAGTCCCATGGACTGCAAGAAAATCAGACCTATCCATTCTGAAGGAAATCAGCCCTGAGTGCTCACTGGAAGGACAGATCCTGAAGCTGAGGCTCCAGTACTTTGGCCACCTCATGAGAAGAGAAGACTCCCTGGGAAAGACCCTGATGTTGGGAAAGATTGAAGGCACAAGGAGAAGGGGATGACAGAGGACGAGATGGTTGGACAGTGTTGTCAAAGCTACGAACATGAGTTTGACCAAGCTGCAGGAGGCAGTGGAAGACAGGAGTGCCTGGCGTGCTCTGGTCCATGGGGTCACGAAGAGTCAGACACGACCAAACAAACAAACAGAAAAATGAGAGTACCCCTAAACATTATTTTTTTTAGGAAAAAAAGCACTGCATATAAAAATGATTCTTCTTATCCATGAATTTGCGGATGGGGAGCTGAGGCTGTGAACGGCCTCCTAATAAAATTGTGGCAGCGACTTCCCAATCCATAGCACAGTCGCATGACGAGGAAAGACTTTGTTTGGGGTACACAAAAACCGGTTCTGTAGATCTTGGTTGCTGTGCAGAACTGAATCTGGCTCTCTTCAGCAACCCCCCGCCCTTTTCTCTCTCGTAGGCAGCGCTTTCATCGACCTTAATGAGCACAACACAACTGTCCGGTTGAGCTTGCCTTTGAAAGCGGATACCCAGAAATTATGTTGACAGTGAGTGGCATGAGCGTGAATGTAATGCGAAGAGTAGTTGTGCCAGAGAAATGGAATCACAAACAGGTCATTAGCGCTGACAAAAGGCTAGAACGCTTGGTCTTTATAGGGGACATCGATTCTGTTCCTGCAGGGAAGTCAGCTGTGACGCCTGATAAGAGGGAGGAGATTGGGACCGGGAATAGTTTTGGCAGTCGTTTCTAAGACTGAAAAATGGATCTCATCCGATAGGCCATGTGATAAATAGCAATAGCTTCCAAGCTGAAGCGCATAATTTGGGCCAGCTGTGAATTGCCCCTTTCCTGATCCTTCCTTGCAATCCGCTCCTTTAAGAGCAGGTTTGCAAGTTCAGAAAGAACGTGGGACTTGGACCAAAAAGATCTGGGTCCACAGTCCTACTCAGCCAAGAAGGTCAATAGGAAATCCTGGATTAGACCCATTCTCTCAGCCCAACCTACCTCTCAGGGTTACATGAAGACAGAACTGAAGGGGTGAAACTAAGGAGGAACCGATGAAGCTGCTTTATACGCAGTTGGCCCCTCAATTGGCTCAGTATTGGGTATACCAGTGTTTCCCAAACTTGGGTTTCCAGTTGTTGTTTTTGACTACAACTCCCATCATCCTTAACTACCAGGACCAGTGGTCAGGGATGATGGGAATTGTAGTTCAAAAACAGCTGGAGACCCAAGTTTGGGAAACACTGGTGCATACCAAAGATGGGCAACCTGTGGCCCTCCAGATGTGGAACTCCCAAGTCCCATCAACCTAAGAGGCAGATACAAAACCCTGGACTGGTAAAAGGGTAAAAGGGTATTGGGAAATAATCCATAATGAATTGTAAAAAAATGTTTAAAAGTCCTCCCTCCCCCCCCCAAAAAAAACACCAGAGTCCTTTTTGTTGGGGATAATTAAGACTGAAATTCCCAGGTGTCAAAAAAGGTTATTTAGGTGTGCCACTACTGCGGCCCATGTTTTGTTAACCCCAAAATGGAAAACGAGTGAGGTCCCAACTAAAGAAGAATGGCAACTTAAGCTGACAGAATATGCACAGTTTGCAGACTTAACATATAGAATAAGAGACCAAGAAGAACATAACATTTAGAGAAGATTGGAAAACGTTTATTGAATATATGGGGGGGGGGAATGTATACCTGAAAACATTGGCAGCATTAAGATAAATACAACAATGTAAATAAGTTTTGATGATGCAGTAATGGAATACTGAATGTTTTAGTTTTTGTAAAGTATGCAGGGATTTATGATATGCAAAATGAACCATGGAAAGAGAAGAAAGGAAGTCATTGATATTTTTAAGGATGTTTAAATGAATATTTTAAATTGTAAAACAGAAAATTTAATAAAAATTATGTTGTTGTTGTTGTTTAGTCGTTTAGTCGTGTCCGACTCTTCGTGACCCCATGGACCAGAGCACGCCAGGCACTCCAGCACCATAATACAAAAGCATCAATTCTTTGGCGATCAGCCTTTTTTATGGTCCAGCTCTCACTTCCATACATCACTACTGGGAAAACCATAGCTTTAACTATATGGACCTTTGTCGGCAAGGTGATGTCTATGCTTTTTAAGATGCTGTCTAGGTTTGCCATCGCCTTTCTCCCAAGAAGCAGGCGTCTTTTAATTTCGTGACTGCTGTCACCATCTGCAGTGATCATGGAGCCCAAGAACATAAAATCTCTCACTGCCTCCATTTCTTCCCCTTCTATTTGCCAGGAGGTGATGGGACCAGTGGCCATGATCTTCGTTTTTTTGATGTTGAGCTTCAGACCATATTTTGCGCTCTCCTCTTTCACCCTCATTAAAAGGTTCTTTAATTCCTCCTCACTTTCTGCCATCAAGGTTGTGTCATCTGCATATCTGAGGTTGTTGATATTTCTTCCGGCGATCTTAATTCCGGCTTGGGATTCATCCAGCCCAGCCTTTCGCATGATGAATTCTGCATATAAGTTAAATAAGCAGGGGGACAATATACAGCCTTGTCGTACTCCTTTCCCAATTTTGAACCAATCAGTTGTTCCATATCCAGTTCTAACTGTAGCTTCTTGTCCCACATAGAGATTTCTCAGGAGACAGATGAGGTGATCAGGCACTCCCATTTCTTTAAGAACTTGCCATAGTTTGCTGTGGTCGACACAGTCAAAGGCTTTTGCATAGTCAATGAAGCAGAAGTAGATGTCCTTCTGGAACTCTCTAGCTTTCTCCATAATCCAGCGCATGTTTGCAATTTGGACTCTGGTTCCTCTGCCTCTTCTAAATCCAGCTTGCACTTCTGGGAGTTCTCGGTTCACATACTGCTTAAGCCTGCCTTGTAGAATTTTAAGCATAACCTTGCTAGCGTGTGAAATGAGTGCAATTGTGCGGTAGTTGGAGCATTCTTTGGCACTTCCCTTCTTTGGGATTGGGATGTAGACTGATCTTCTCCAATCCTCTGGCCACTGCTGAGTTTTCCAAATTTGCTGGCATATTGAGTGTAGCACCTTAACAGCATCATCTTTTAAAATTTTAAATAATTCAGCTGGAATATCATCACTTCCACTGGCCTTGTTATTAGCGATGCTTTCTAAGGCCCATTTGACTTCACTTTCCAGGATGTCTGGCTCAAGGTCAGCAACCACACTACCTGGGGTATATGAGACATCAATTTCTTTCTGGTATAGTTCCTCTGTGTATTCTTGCCACCTCTTCTTGATGTCTTCTGCTTCTGTTAGGTCCTTTCCACTTTTGTCTTTTATTATGGAAATCTTTGTACAAAATGTTCCTTTCATATCTCCAATTTTCTTGAACAGATCTCTGGTTTTTCCCATTCTATTGTTTTCCTCTATTTCTTTGCATTGCTCGTTTAAGAAGGCCTTCTTGTCTCTCCTTGCTATTTTTTGGAAATCTGCATTCAATTTCCTGTATCTTTCACTATCTCCCTCGCATTTTGCTTGCCTTCTCTCCCCCGCTATTTGTAAGGCCTCGTTGGACAGCCATTTAATAAAAATTATAGATATATATTTATAGATAAACAGATAGATGATAGATACAACCTGACACTGTAATAAAGCAATTGGGTAGAATAGGAATGGGAACTGGGCTTTCATACTTTGAACAGCTGTGGAGAAGGCAGCATTTTGGCAGGTGCACTTCATCTCAGCGGCTTTATGACACAACAAGTGTCGCCTGCCCAAAAAATGCCTCTTACACATCCCTGCTAAAGGTACCTGAGCCCTGGTCAACTTAAATGGCAGTAAACAAGAATCGACCAGGAAGTAACTGCAGCTTGTCTGCAGCGGGTGTAGCAAGGTGGTTACTATGGTAACCACCAGGAAGTCAGCGCTGCAGAAATGTAATGATTGTTACTCCCAATGACCACTATAAGCTTCCAAGGATATATATCCCTGTCATGGAAACCTGAGGCCAACATGAGTCGTCAGCTTTTTTTCCTTCAACAGCCAGAAATCTTAGGGATGCACAAGTTGCTTTAGCTCCATTCCAGAATTGTTTGAAGGTGTCAACATCTCTTTGGTTTCCACTCTTACTGAAGCAGTCAGAGAAAGAAAGAAGTTTGTTTGCGTGCATATTAGTCTGTAGTGAACATTCTCTTTTTTGAATAAATTTTATTAGCGCTTATAAAGAGAGATAGATATAAAACTTAATACCAGATATCTTTCTTATCCAACGTTAATCTAAATAAAATAAAAACATAGAGGAAAGGGGGAAAAGGAAAGGAGGAGGAAAGAAGAGGGGGCGCGCGAGAGAAAACGATAAGAAGTCTAGTGAACATTCTGCGTTGGGGCAGGAAAGCCTCCCCTCAAGTTCTTAGGGTGAAAAGTTTTTGTTTGGGGCAAGGATGTGGGTTGTGTTCTTTATTTTGGAATGAGAGGAGGTGGCACAGGTGTTCTGTTCATTTATTTCTTTTTTTTAAAAAAAGAAAAAACTTGCTCAGCTGCGAAATACTTTGAAAATGGCCATGTGACTGAACCCTGCTCAGAGAACGTGACCCTTTTCTCTCTTCCAGTTAGTGCCACAGTCTGGAAGAGAAAGGGAAAAGTTGAGGGGCAGGACTCAGACTGGAAGAGAAAGGGGAAAGTTGAGGGAAGAATGATAGCTACTCACCTTGCCAACAAAGGTCCGTATAGTAAAAGCTATGGTTTTCCCAGTAGTGATGTATGGAAGTGAGAGCTGGACCATAAAGAAGGCTGATCGCCGAAGAATTGATGCTTTTGAATTATGGTGCTGGAGGAGACCCTTGAGAGTCCCATGGACTGCAAGAAGATCAAACCTATCCATTCTTAAGGAAATCAGCCCTGAGTGCTCACTGGAAGGACAGATCCTGAAGCTGAGGCTCCAATACTTTGGCCACCTCATGAGAAGAGAAGACTCCCTGGAAAAGACCCTGATGTTGGGAAAGATGGAGGGCACAAGGAGAAGGGGACGACAGAGGACGAGATGGTTGGATAGTGTCTTCGAAGCTACAAACATGAGTCTGACCAAACTGCGGGAGGCAGTGGAAGACAGAAGTGCCTGGCGTTCTCTGGTCCATGGGGTCACGAAGAGTCGGACACGACTAAACGACTAAACAACAACAACATGAAAAGTGGCACTTCCTCTTTTAGTGGGACAGGAAATTTGGCCCTGCCTTTTTGTTTAGCTGTGTTTTTATCTCTCTTTCTTCCTGCACTGCTGTGCTCTTAGGTTTTTATTATTTTGGGGTATAAGTTGTTTTGTGTTACCTGTTAAGAAGGGAACAAATCTAACTCATTATACCACAGCTACGAATGACATGAAATTCATTCATGAATGCAATAGGCAAGCAGTTCTTCAGGGAAACTTGTCAGCCATCACTGACCTTCCAAAGAACCTGAGTTTGCTGGAAAATAGGTTGGGTTTTTAAAAATTGCAGCCAAGAGAAAAGGTCTCTTGCCTGCATCTGCATTCTAGAAACGCAACAAAGACCTTGCTTTGATGCTAACAAAGTTTCCATGACCAAGTTCTTGATTGGGATTTCACTCTCTGTTACTTAGTCTGATTTTGTTTGTTTGTTTGCTTGGTCTAGCTATCAGAAGAGATTGGAAAACTTGAAGATAAAGTAGAGTGCGCCAATAATGCTCTGAAAGCTGACTGGGATAGATGGAAAGAAAGTATGCGTCTTGATATGAAACTGACTTTTAGCGATGTTGCAGAAAATAATATCCACTATTATGAACAGGTAAGATGCACTTTTAGAAAAGCGTTGTGGGATTGTTTGCTTCCTCTGTACAGTTCACTAAGAAAAGAAACCATTTGTAATTCAGCTTTATATTCCAACATAAGCCTTTCAGTTAGCTGCTGTGAGCTCGAACTGCTTCTGAGTTGACGGTCAACAGAGGGCAGTCTTGTTTTACAAAGTGTAAGGACGGAAGCATGTATTTATCTTGCTTCAAGAGAGCTGCAAGCGTTTAAGACAGGAAAACTTTGCCTTCCGGGGCTGTGTAGAAGAAGACGGCAAGGTTTGAATAGTAGATCCATCACTGAGCGCTTTAGTTGATTAATCAGTAGGCCAATTTTAAATTGGTGTGGCTGAGATGGAAATTAGTGTCAGCTTCAAGGCAGAGCTGCCACCTCTTTTACTGGACCTGTTCCTTTTCCTTAAACAGCAACCCAGCACGAAGAGATCAAGCAAGTTAAGCTATAATAAATAATAATAAATTTTATTTATACCCCGCCCTCCCCAGCCAAGGCCGGGCTCAGGGCGGCTAACAACCAATAATAAAAACAAGTTGAATAAATACAACTTAAAAAACAAGATTAAAATGCAACATCAAAACATTAAAATGCAGCCTCATCACAGGAGGAGAAAGGAAGAAAGAAAAAGGGGGAGGGAGTCAAACTGACTCCAAGCCAAAGGCCAGGCGGAACAACTCTGTCTTACAGGCCCTGCGGAAAGAAATCAGATCTTGCAGGGTCCTGGTTTCATGAGACAGAGCGTTCCACCAGGCTGGAGCCAGAGTTGAAAAGGCCCTGGCTCTGGCTGAAGCTAATCTAACTTCCTTAGGGCCTGGGACCACTAGGGTGTTGTTATTTATGGATGTTGAGGCTCTCCGTGGGGCATACACGGTCCCATAGGTACAAGGGTCCTATCTCTTATCTCCATACAATAAAAAAGTATTGCCTGTTAAACTTCTGAATGTCAAACTGTTTTAAAGACACTGGGGTAGGTCAAGAGGGGGTAGACTAATAGAGGGTCACACTTGTTTTATTTTCTTAAAGCCATCGGCTGCATTCACACATCACACTAAACTATGGTTCTGCGTGACATATATGAGCAGGAAGCCTCGAACTCGCATGCTCCTCATCTCCCCTCTCCTCTTCCCATGCAGCCAAGAGGAGGAGTGTAAAAACCTTTGCTTCCACTTTTAGTTGACTAAAGTTTGCCGTGCCATTTGCTCCTGGAATTATGGTTCACCTTAGGTATGGATTAGTTTTAACAAGCCAGCTTCAGTTTGGAGTAGGCTTGTTGGAAACTGACCAGATGTTTACATTAGCCACAATTTGTCATACCAGGCAACACGGCAAACTAGATTAACCAAAAGTGAAATTAAAAGCATTTGAGATCCTCCTACCAGCCATACACGAGGAGAGAAGAGCATGAAAGCTCAAGGCTTGCTGCAGCTTGTGTCTGCTCCTGCAGGTCACAGTAAACCGTGGTTTAGTGTGATGGTCAGATGTGACCACTGCAATAAGGAGTATATCATAAAAGATATCTAATTATGAATGTCTTACATGGATGTCTAATGTTTGCTGCAAAATGCTAAGGACCTGATCCACAGGAAACCTTAATGTGGCACCCACTTGCCAGCTAAGAGCTTTTTGCAGAAATAAGTAAGTTTAACTAGTTTTCTTTGTGAATAAAACCAATTGAATGGAGCCTTTGAACAAATGAAATTGCCATACAAGGCACAGCTCTTTTTTTCTCCCCTTAACAACCTTGAAAAGGAGCCATGCTATATTTTCTAACTGAGAGCACCATATTAATTAGTTCCTTTAAAAAGTCAGAGAGAGTCTCTATACCTTGTTGTATTCTAATATGGGTTTTCCCTAATATGAATGGCTTTCATCTGACCTCTCAGTGCTGAATTTACAAATGCTTTCAACATAATGTAATTAGAAAGAGAGAGCTCTTGATTATCAGGTCTGTTTAAATTTGTCTAAGAGAGGCACGGGGCATTGGCAATCTACTCCTATAAATCAAGATCAAAACACTTCCTCGTATCTGAAGCTTTGCTGCTTCTTGACATTTCCTTAGCTTCCTCCTATCCACTCATGACTTTTGGATTTTCCTATCAGAGATGCATGCCCCAAAGCTAGTCATACAAATGTTGTGCTCTAAAATTATTAGACTGTTCACAGACTGGTCTTGAGGCAGTTTGGGGCTTTACGTAGGAGGAAAAAAAGGATCTGCAACCCAAACATAAGCATTTGCTTTTGAGTATCTCTGTGAATTCTTACAGTGGCCTCCTTACAATGCCCACCATTGCACCAACTCTCCAGTATTATCACGATGCAGTGCCAGTGCACAGCTCTCAAGATATTTGAAGGTGGCTAACCTGTGGTTCTCCAGATGTTGTTATATGGCAGCTCCCATCACCGCCAACCATTGACCATGCTGGCTGGAGCTAATGGGAGCTGGAGTGCCAACAACATCTGCTCTAACCCATCCCCAGCATTTATATGCTGGTGCAACTGCTCAGAACTGGGCTGTCAGACTGATAACTTGAGAAGGAGCTAAGGCATAATAATCCCCTCTTCCTTCCTCAGCTGATCTGCATGGATCTGCAAGGAAGGGGGCATGTGTGTGTGTGTGTGTGTGTGTGCATGCGTGCACGCACATGCGCGCACATATATATATATATATATGGTATACATGAGAGGCATCGACTCTGGGCCACACCCACTGCTCAGGCCAAAAACAGGTTCTCCAGTCTTGCCTTTAAAAGGTTTGTCACATTAGACATGCCAGGAAAGATTGTCAGACTTTGGGGCCTCAGGGAACTGTCTTCAAACAGAGGAGAGAATGCTACACGCCTTGACATTTTTCTTTGGCTTAGATCAAAATCCAAGCTGGAACGGAATTTCTGGCTTCCCCACCGCCTCCTGCTTTCGATGGGTCACCTATACTCCCACAGATTCTCACCAGGGTGACAAAGAAGGAGGGGGGAATGCTCTATTTTGCTTTTCTTCCAGGTTGCCAGTGATGCTAGGGGAAGGGAAAATGAAAAGCGTGTGCCTGGGCAGCGGCAGGGTGCTGGCAAGGGGATAGAGCGACGCTTTTCCGAGATAGTTTAGGAACGGCTGGGGAAATTTATTTGTGATTTCACCATTTATTTCCAGGAAAAATCTGAGGAGAGCCTCAGCAGGCTTGCCCATCCCTGCGTCTCACAGACGTGCTGTCTCCGTAACCCTCCATCAACCATCTCATGTATACCATAATTTATTGTGCCCTTTGTGTAGATGGGGAGCTGAGCCTTGCCTACAGAAACCTAGTGACCTCTTAGGTAGACTGAGATTTGAACCAGTGATTCAGTGACTCAGGGTTCATTCTCCTAGCCACTATGTTGCACTTCCATTTACCTGCTGGTATCAAATGCATGCAAAAATCATGGCATGTATTCTGGGTGATGACACTCCTCCCCCTTTTATTACATTTTCATTTATTAAATTTATATCCTGCCCTTCCTCTCAAAGGAAACACACCAGTGAAAAAACAAATGCTATTTAAAGCATTTAAATGCAATTAAAAGTATCCAAAGAACATTTAAGAGCAATAAGCACAGTAAAACATTAAACAGATTTTTTAAAAAAGGGTGTCTTTGGCACAAACCCACTGAGATGTTCAAAGAGGTTGCAATGGCCCCTTTGCTTTGTGTTTTGTTCCTTTTATTGCCTTGGATTCCATCGTCTCACACAAGTATTTCTGAAACGTTGTTTCCCCTTTGTTAAGTTTGGGGTGAAGATGTGACCTCAGAGTTGTTCCACATGCTTTCTTAGGTACGTTTGCCTGAGGATTTTTGCTGTCAGTCTGTCGAGCCCCATTTAGCTAGTATGGAAGAACACGTCTTATCCTCCTTAAGCCAGATTAATGCTGTCACTGTATGAAGTACTTCAACAACAGAGCGTACCTGCAAACTGATCTGCACAGAGCGAAATGACTTACAATGAGATGCAGGGCTTTGTTGACACTGTAGCAGTCCTGGCATCGCCGGCCAGAGCTGGAAATGTCCCCTGTCTGAAATACTGGAGAGTGTGGACAATACTAAGTTGGAAGGACCAATGATTTGATAAAAGTCAGCCTCCTATGCATAACTATTGATACCTAAGCTTTCTTTTTGCCATGTAGTGGAATTCTATTCTGGGTGCCTAAAGATGGTCTAGCAATGAAGAATGCTATCAACATTTTGTTGGACTGTGTGGCGAATGCCCCACTGGTTTCAACTAGCACTATCAAGCAATAAGATTTTTTTTAATGATTAGCAGTACAACCCCAGGGATGCGGGTGGCGCTATGGGTTAAACCACGAAGCCTAGGACTTGCCGATCAGAAGGTCGGCAGTTCGAATCCCCGTGATGGGGTGAGCTCCCATTGCTCGGTCCCTGCTCCTGCCAACCTAGCAGTTTGAAAGCACATCAAAGTGCAAGTAGATAAATAGGTACCGCTCCGGCGGGAAGGTAAACGGCGTTTCCGTGCGCTGCTCTGGTTCGCCAGAAGCGGCTCAGTCATGCTGGCCACATGACCCGGAAGCTGTACGCTGGCTCCCTCGGCCAATAAAGTGAGATGAGCGCCGCAGCCCCAGAGTCAGTCACGACTGGACCTAATGGTCAGGGGTCCCTTTACCTTTGCTATCAGTACAACCCAGGCTTCCCCTCCCTCCGCCGGAAATCACTGAAACTCAGTTCTGACACCTCTCAGGTGGACACCATTGCACCCCAGTGATCAGGGATGATGGGAACTGTAGTCCTAAAACAGCTGGGGACACAAGTTTGGGGAAATGGTGTGCTGGCCCTTCTCACATTGCCGACAATCCTGTTTATGTCTGAGTAAGGAGCATGATTCTGTGCTTAGATTGTCATCATTGTGGACATTTCCCTATGCAGAGATTGAAAACATGCAGACTGACTTTATATATATTTGCAGAAGAAGCCAGCTGCTGATCAGTATCAATTGCACCCATCCGGAGCCAATCGAGAATTTGCCCCTCTGGCTCAGTGAAAAAGACAGCTAGGCCACAGACTGGTTTGTGACACAGCAGCAACCTGTATGTACCAATGAATGAACCATCGCAGGTAGAACTTCAGTATCCTCGCGGAGCACAATGCCTTTCATTGTAATCAGTCAGATATTCAGCTGCCAGTTGCCAAGTGTGGAGTAATCATACAATGAGAAATCAAATGCTGTGCCTGCATCCCTCGAAGGCTGTGTAGCAGGTGCCTTTTAAATGTGTGTGCGTGTGCGTGACACACACACAAATCCCACACCATGGTGGGTATTATAAAAAAAACAACATGGATGCACAAGTGCAGCCTGCTTGACAATCAAAAGAACAGCACGCTGTTCACAAACCAGCAGGTAACCACCACTATTGTGTTTGTACTGTCACATATCAGCAGGGCTTCCCCTGCGACAAGGACAGATGAGTTTTCTGCTGTTCTCCATAGCACTCCATATCTATAATGTTTAATTCATCATTTTGGGGGAGATAGCTTCATTAGCCATTGCAGCATCTTGCTGGAAGGGGTGTACGTCCAGAAAAAAAGTGTCAAGCAGTTTTAAGTCGAGATGAAATCAGTAGCACTCAAAAGCAAGGCTTACCTGTATATACTGCTCATTTCATGGAGAGATGATAGCCTGGGATGAATGTTGTAGAATGAGGAGTTTGCACAGGAGAGAGTACACAGCCCTGAGGGTTGTTGGCATTTGTCTGTCTCAAAAAAACAACAGTGAGACTCCGGGGGTGAAGTCAAACTGCTGTGTTAGCGTCACTGAAGTGACCTCCCTAGGGTGTGAGCCCAGAAGTGTGTATGGAGGTCCCAGGCTGCCCAGATGACAAGACTCCCCCTTAGCCTCGCTGATGCGGTCCAAAGGAAATGAGAGCAATAGATTTGGCACCAGCTTGGCTGCAAGAGTTGCCAAAGGAGGCGTACAAGGAGCCATGTCACCATTTTAGGAGCTCCACTCCGGATTTGTGTAGGGTTTACTCCTTAGCCCCTTCTTCTCCCACAAGGCAGTGGAAGTTTGGGACCAGAGTTTTCTTTCTCCTAGATGAGCTCCCTTCCCATGTTGATGAGCCCCAACTGCCCCTCACCTCCCTCTACAGCACATGCAGAACCTGCTTTCTTGACCACTGGGCCCACCATTGGTCTCGCCCACTCAACCTGCCAGAGCCTGTCTTCACATGGAGGGGAAGTCCCTAACTCACTGAGGGTCTGAGTCCCCATTGGCTACCCTCACCAGCCTGTGTATGGGGTGTTAAAGGAGGGGTAGTTTCTCTGGTGGTTTCTTCATGCTGCTTCTGAGATAGTTTGTCCACCTGCACTCAGCTCTCACCTGTGGCTCCTAGAAGCTGTCAGCATGTGACGGCAGCCACACCCCATGAACGGAACAGCTCTCCCGGTATGACCTGCAGAGGACCTTAAGGTCCATAAATAGCAACATCCTAGAGGTCCCAGGCCCTAAGGAAGTCAGATTAGCCTCAATCAGAGCCAGGGCCTTTTCAACACTGGCTCTGACCTGGTGGAACACTCTGTCTCATGAGACCAGGGCCTTCCAGGATCTGATTTCTTTCTGCAGGGCCTGTAAGACCGAGTTGTTTCACCTGGCCTTTGGCTTGGAATCAACTTGATCCCCTCCCCCTCTTTCCTTTTTCCTTCTGTGATGAAACTCCTATTTGGGGACTTCCCTGCCTTTTTTTGTGGCCCACATAGGACCAGTCTGGATAGTTGGCCTTGGTGAAGATTTGATGTTTTCATCCCCAAAAAGTTTTTGATTTGTTTCTACTGAAATGAGGCTGCCTTTTATTGTTGTATTTTAATCTTGTTTTTAAGTTGTATTTTAATCAATTGTTTTATACTTGGTGTTAGCCGCCCTGAGCCTGGTCTTGGATGGGGAAAGCGGGGTATTAAAAAAAAATATTATTATTTTTAGGGGTGGGGTAGCAATAACTTTTCCTGCCCACCTAGCAGTTCAAAAGCACGTCAAAGTGCAAGTAGATAAATAGGTACCGCTCCGGTGGGAAGGTAAACGGCGTTTCCGTGCGCTGCTCTGGTTCTCCAGAAGCGGCTTAGTCATGCTGGCCACATGACCCGGAAGCTGTACACCGGCTCCCTCGGCCAGTAAAGCGAGATGAGCACCGCAACCCCAGAGTCGGTCACAACTGGACCTAATGGTCAGGGGTCCCTTTACCTTTACCTTAGCAATAACTTTAGAAGTAATACCCAATGGTGGATTTGTTCTTCTGGTTCCTTCTGATTTTTAAACAGTGCCCCCTATCTACTGCAGCTGTTTTAGGGTCCCCATACTTCACCTTGCACATGCAGAAATCGGATTCAACCCAATTGTTTTTTTTAAATAAAAAGGTTTATAACCTGCCCTTCATCCGAGTGGCCTACACAGGGTTGTCCCACTTCCTCTTCACAGCAACCCTGTGAGGATTGTTAGGCTGAATGAAAGTGACTGGTGCCTGTTGAGTCTTCACAGCTGAGCAGAGATTCACATCAAGCTCTCCTTTGTCCGGGTTCATGGTTCTAAACTGCCAGCACCACACAAAATAGCTCAGGACAGTGGAGAGCATGACTTCAAGAAGAAAATGTGCGGGGGCAGATTCATGGTAGTGGCCGCTATATGTAATCATGTGAGTACATGGGAATCCTTGTATACATGGATGTTCTGTTCCGGGTCGCCATGTGCAACAATGGGACACATGCAAGTCAGTTCCAGCCTGCTCCACTCCTGCCCTGTCTCCTTTCAGCACCAAAACCAGCGCACACACATCAGCAGTCGTGTGTGGGCTGATCGCATGTGAGTGGGGAGGCTCCTGTATATGCAGGAGGTGGTAGCCACATCCATTTCTCCTTGGCTATAAGGTAAAGTAATGGTAAAGGACCCCTAGACGGTTAAGTCCAGTCAAAGCTGACTATGGGGTTGTAACACTCACCTCGCTTTCAGCCGACGTTTGTTCACAGACAGCCTTCCGGGTCACCTGGCCAGCATGAATAAACCGCTTCTGGTGCAACAGGACACCGTGACAGAAACCAGAGTGCACGGAAACGCTGTTTAGCTTCCCGCTGCAGCAGTACCTTTTTATCTACTTACGCTGGTGTGCTTTCAAACTGCTGGGTTGACAGAAGCTGGGACAGGGCAGCGGGAGCTCACTCCATCATGGGGATTTGAACCACCGACCTTCCGATTGGCAAACCCAAGAGGCTCAGTGGTTTAGACCACAGCGCCACCCGCTTCCCTTGGCTATATCCACCACTGGCATGTAGGCCCTAAAGGGTTAGACAAGAAGGATTGCATCCCTTGGGCAGAGTAAAGTTCTACACCCTTCCCTTAGAGTTAAGACAATATATAAAGGGCATAAAATCCTTAACTGTTCAAGGGTCACAGTTTAAGGAATACTCAGAGGCAGACATTGTCTCCTTGTTTATTATATTTGCTAAGTCAGGATTGTGGGACTCCAAGCTCTCAATGACCACAGGGCGGAAGCGCTGGGCAAAAACTTCCAAGCCAGGGAGACAGGTGATCAGGAGGTACTATCCAATATCTCCAGCAATATACAATAGATAGATAGATAGATAGATAGATAGATAGATAGATAGATGATAGATAGATAGATAAGGTAAAGGGACCCCTGACCATTAGGTCCAGTCATGGCCGACTCTGGAGTTGTGGCGCTCATCTCGCTTTATTGGCCGAGGGAGCCGGTGTACAACTTCCAGGTCATGTGGCCAGCATGACTAAGCCGTTTCTGGCAAACCAGAGCAGCGCACGGAAACACCGTTTACCTTCCCACCAGAGCGGTACCTATTTATCTACTTGCACTTTGACGTGAACTGCTAGGTTGGCAGGAGCAGGGACCGAGCAACGGGAGCTCACCCCACTGCAGGGATTCAAACTGCCGACCTTCTGATTGGCAAGTCCTAGGCTCTGTGGTTTAACCCACAGCGCCACCCGTGTCCCTAGATAGATAGGTAGATAGGTATCCAGCAATATATGGAACCATTGCAGTAATCAGGTGCACCATTGTAAGAACAAGCAATACCAAGGATGAACACCATGTAGACATCAGCTTAAGTATGAAGCCGAATTGGTTCGAAGAAGCACATTAAAACACCTTTTGTTTATAACTGACAAAGCAAGACATTTTAAAATTAAAATCACAGTAAGTGACTCGCCTTTGAAGCAACAGTGTAGCGCTGCCTTTCAACACAAAGATTTAGAGCCTCTTTTACTTACATAAGTTATTCAATTTTTAAAGCTTATCCACATTTATGTAACCAAATGTGTGTTCCAAAATTCAGATCCTTCTGTGGCTTATTTTGTTGTCGGAGATCAGAGCTCTGCTCCAGCTGACAAGATATATAATTAACCATACGAATACAAAAGTAGGTCTCTGTGCCTCAGGCTCTCCAGGCCTTTTCTTCTGCAAAAACATCAGCTGCAAAAGTGACATTACTTTTGAGGCATTCATTTGAGCTACTCTGAAATTATTCCATTCCGCTCCCTTAGCACGGAACGGGGAGGTGGTTGATTCCAGATAAAGGACCTTTAGCACAAACTCACCAAAGGAGTGTAAAATGTTAAGACAGAGTTTAATTTCAACGTGTGGGATTGGATTTGTAATTTACGGATCTAATTACTCATAAAACTGTTCTGGGTCACAGGGAAAGGATAACGACCACAAAACGAAATGGAAGAAGCTTGCCTGGAATGACATATTGCATGGGAATATCATTGCAAGTTACAACATATAAACCAGAACATCAGCTATAGGGGGAAACCCAGAAAGTGTTTTAATTTTGCATGCAGCTGTGCCTAAAGATCATTAGCAACTGCAATAATTACACCATAATCCTGTCTGGTGCATCAGCAAGTTCTATGAAGTATTTACAAATGTTAAGTAGTTTCTGATCCAGTGCAGTGCATTTTCGCTCCATTCTGTTGGCTGGAGAGCAGTAAAGTGTTCCCTTAGCCAGTGTTACATGACAACATTGCAGCCCTTTCCACAGTTGTGGCTACTGTAAAATTGATCCACAGTCTGTCTTTACAGTCAGATGGACTGGAGGCTGTAGTCCAGCTGGGACCTCCACTATATGCATGGAAGATCACACTGTTGTATATTTCTTAGTTGCTGCCACCTCTGTTTCTGTATTCAAAATCATTAGCACAGAATCATTGCCCACGGGGGGTGGGCAGACAGGGCAATCTGCTTAGCAATACCTTGAAATCCTGTACAGTGAAACCTCGGTTGTCGAACGTAATCCGTTCCGGAAGACCATTTGACTTCTGAAACGTTCGACAACCGAGGCACAATTGCTGGTTGGCAAATTCCTTTTAAAAAATGGAGAAACGTGCCTCAGAAGCTGTTTGACTTCCGAGGCACGTTCGAAAATGGAAGTATTCACTTCTGGGTTGTCAGCGTTTGGGTTCCGAATTGTTCGGCTTCCAAAGCGTTCAACAACCGAGGTTCCACTGTATTCACAACCACCGGGGCTAGGAACCAACTTGGTCTTTAATTTAGAAACAGTTTCATGAGAAGCTGAACTGTGCACCTTGTAAAAGGTAAAGGTACCCCTGCCCGTATGGGCTAGTCATGTCCAACTCTAGGGTTGTGCGCCCATCTCACTTAAGAGGCCGGGGGCCAGCGCTGTCCGGAGACACTTCCGGGTCACGTGGCCAGCGTGACATCGCAGCTCTGGCGAGCCAGAGCCGCACACGGAAACGCCGTTTACCTTCCCGCTAGTAAGCGGTACCTATTTATCTACTTGCACTTCGGGGTGCTTTCGAACTGCTAGGTGGGCAGGAGCTGGGACCGAACGACGGGAGCTCACCCCGCCGTAGGGATTCGAACCGCTTACCATGCGATCGGCAAGTCCTAGGCACTGAGGTTTTACCCACAGCGCCACCCGCGTCCCTACGATCGGCAAGTCCTAGGCGCTGAGGTTTTACCCACAGCGCCACCCACGTTCCTTGTACAAGTGCACCTTGTACTGTTGGATAAATTTAAAAGGGGTTCCTACACTGGAGACATCCCTCCCATAATCCCAAAAGAAAGCAATGCCGGCTTCAAGTGAAAGCAATGCTTCTTATTAGACACGTGATTTCTGCTCACCAATTTTAGCCATTGAAACCCAACATCATTATCCTGAACCAATCAAAATTATTTAGATCTTCAGATCAGCCCTCATCATAATACCATGTGGTTACATAGAATCATTTCCAGTACTATTTTTCTAGAAATAGTGGCATTGGAACTCACCATGAACATCTCCCTTGTTCTCTTACAATGGCAATGGCTCCCATCTGAGAGGCGCTGGAACTGAATTCCAGCTGAAAAAAAGTCCTGATCATTTTTCAGTGTCCTTCTTTATTAAGATTTTGACTAATTTTCCTGCTTACTAAATATCCCCCAGTATCTTCTTTCATCTAGCTTCAAAACAATTCAAGATT